ATCAAGATCAGAAGTTTGCAATGGCTGATTGTGTACGCAGCCCTGCCAGTGAACCAATGGCTACATACTAGACGAAAAATCAATGACCCAAATAGCTCGGAATTATGTACAGTCTGCTCTGAAGGTTTGGTAGAAGACCTAGTACACTGCCTAGTGTTCTGCAAAGAAGCGACTGAATACTGGGCGAGAGCATCTGCACTCTGGAACTCCCTCTTCTCTTCCCCCTTCCCCAAACAACCCATTCAGCTSCTCCTCTTGACTAACATCCCTGTTCAGGCTCGGAAAGCTGAGAGGTCCTGGTTCGAACTCATCAGGAAGGTGACCCTGTGGGTCATATGGAAGGAGAGATGCAGCCGAACAATCAAAGGACATTCCAATCCACGGGAGAAGGTGTGGTTAGAAAATAAAGCAATGATTCAAGCGGAGATCCTTTGCAGATGGCGGAGGACCAAACGAGCCTGGACAGAAGATGAAGAGCAGCGGAACAAGGAAAGACAGTTTTTACAGAACGTGGCTGGTTGATGGCAAGATTGGAGAACTGTGACAGGACCGGGTGTGCTGGGAGAGATGGCATAATTCAAGTCCAGAAAGGGACTTCCATCGTCAGTCACCGAGGGAAGACTTAACCACGTCTTAGGCTGCAAGAGGATAAACATAATCCAGGGGGCACAGAGGAAACAAGGAAAACACAAATGGGGTCACATAAGGGGGGTCCCTTCCCAGAGAGCCGGAAGCTAATGAGCTCCTTGCCACGGCCCAATTCTGACGACCGGACAACAACATTGCAGACCGAAACTGTTGGTTACAAAGACAAGCGGCTGACTGTTCGAAGGGGGGCAATAGTGGTTGAAAAGAGAAGAAGCAGGTGGATAAGGGTAGCAGTCGTGCTCTTTCTAGGCTCAAGTGCTTTATCTGACAGTTCTGGATTCCGGATCTGAGAGGAAAGAGAGGGACAAGGCAAGCTGGCAGTCCTCCCGGGGTGGAGCAATCAATGCTGTGCAGGGGTCCTTCGGCCAGACGGAAGGAAGCGTGTGTGAGTGTTAATTGTTGTTGTATATATTTTTGACTTGCCGGTGGAATAGGAACCGGACTGACGCTCCCCAGAATAGAAGGAGCCAGGACCATGAGGCCCTGTTGAAAAACAAAAAAAGAAGTCAGCTTTAAAAAGTTGGGTAAAGGAACAAACACCATCGGGGGCTGCTGAACGGGGCTGGGTTAATAGACACGGGTTACTCCAGAAAGGGATGGGCATCACTAGCAGCTCCATGGGACAATGGAGCACAGGACAGTAAAGATAAGTAACCACAACCCCAGGAAAAAACGGTCTCAAGCGACGAGTCATGTCTTGTATCAACGGGACGGTGGACCCGGTTTCCAGCAGGTGCCGCTCCCCACCAATAGATGGAGCAGCCCKATAGACAAGCCCTCAATCCTGGCAGTTCCCGTACCACTGCCGGGATAGAGGGATGCTGCAAGGGCTTTGAAAAAAAAAAAAAAAAAAAGCTTTGGAAAAAAAAAACACTCTGTGTGTATGGTAGGGTTCTTGCAGTCTGTATGGTAGGGTTCTTGCAGTCTGTATGGTTGGGTTCTTGCAGGCCAGATTCAGTCACGATGAGGGTCGCGATCTCTCAAAACGTTCGCTTCTTATTACTTCTGAAGTAGAAAATGACGGAACTGACAGCCCTTTTTCCTGGAGTTTTTTGCTAATAATAAAAAGAAAAGAACATAAAGGAAGAAAATCAGAATGACTTACCTGTTGCCCGAATCCGTCAGAAGAGGCACCAACTGTGAGAAAAGAGAATGAATCTTCAGCTGGAAAATGGAAAGATACATCGCCCTCCGTTTTCTCTTTTGATCATATGGTGAACGGTGGAGCGAAGACCCGCGCGTCCAACCTGTCAGAACCTCAACGTCACCAACGGCCTCGCTGCACTACTCTCGACATGCACACAAGACAAATATGGCAATGTATCTTTCCATGTTCAAGCGGAGGATTCAATCTCATTCGTCCAGAGATCCCCCCCCCCCCCAAAAAAAAAGAAGAAACGTTCCAGAGATACGTTATGTGCTTACCTGAGGCCTGACACTAGCACTTCCAGAAATATATCTAATGGCACTTACGGCCAGACTTGGACGAATCTGACCGCAATCACGGCTAGAGCTTAGTAGAAAAGTTCTGAGTGTACGGCATACTCACACTGGGACTTTTTCTACTAAGCTCTGGACGTGATTGCGGTCAGATTCGTCCAAGTCTCGGATGGCATACCTTCTACATCAGCACATGCCGCCAAAACCATCTGTCGTGGACGCGTGCCGAGGTTGAACGGCTCTCTCTCTCTCTCTCTCTCTCTCTCTCTCTCTCTCTCTCTCTCTCTCTCTCTCTCTCTC